CTTTTTTAAAAAAATATTTTTTTATTGATTTTTTTTTTTTTTACAGAGAGGAGGGGAGAGGGATAGAGAGTTAGAAACATCGATGAGAGAGAATCGTTGATTGGCTGCCTCCTGCACACCCCCTACAAGAGATTGAGCCCGCAACCCAGGCGTGTGCCCTGGTTCATAGGTCGATGCCCAACCACTGAGCCACGCCGGCCAGGCTAGAAACAAATCTTAAAAGGACTTTGAATGTTATGGAGTGGGGCTGTATTCAGGAGACAGTAAGAAGCTAGTGGATATTTTGGGGGAGGGGAGGACCTTTATCCAACCCATTCTGGAAGGTACCTTTAATAGCAAAGAATTAGGGAGGTGAGAGATTTGAGGTTAAGAAACCAGTTATAAAAACCAGCGATATCAAGTTATTGAGAATAATACATGCCAGACATTGATATATTAATTATGATTATTGTATTAATATTATTAATATATAGTAATGATATGTGTTTTATATAATTTGTTTATTTAATTTTTGTAACTATCCTGGAATGTAAGTAATATAATCTTTATTTTAGAGATGAAGGCATTGGAGGCTTACAATGATTAATTGCTCATGGTCATATTGGTATAGGTAATAGAGTCCAATCGGATGGGGCTGGAAATGAGGTGATGGGAAAAATATTTGAATTCAAAGTGACTGAATGCGGGGGCGGGGGGGGGTTAAATAGAGAGGGGGAGAAATTGAAGTGTGCAGTTTCCAGTTATAAAAACTGTTACGGGGATGTAAAGTACAACATAAAGAATAGAGTCAATAATATTGTAATAATTAGTATTGTGTCAGATGGGTATTAGACTTATCAAGGTGATCAGTTTGTAAGTTGTATAAATATCTAGTCACTATATGGTAGACCTGGAACTAATATAATATTGTATATCAACTATAATTAAAACTTAAAAATTATTTAAAAAATAAAATTATGTAAGTAAATGCTAAAGTAGAATTTGCTATCTGTATAATATATGAATATGTTGGTGTATGATATGAGGGGTAAATGTAGAGGAAAGGGCTGGTTCCCAGCTCCACTTAGGGCAGTTCTCTTTGCACCACTCTTTGTTTGACAGGCATAGCATACTTGTATTTACTACATGCATATATAATCATATCTTAATACAAATTGGCCTTTTTTTGCAGGTAGAGGAAACAGCATTTTTGTTTGTTTTTGAAGTAATGCCTTAAAAAACTTAACTTTTTAGAAACTGTAATGTTTATCATGTGATTTAATCATCTGATTGTATTTACAGTTTTAATCTAAATTAGATGTTTTAAGTATTTGCCTATATCCTGAAGCAATTCTATACAGGATATATTTAAAAGAATACTATATGATTTTGGCACCCAAATATGCCCAGTTGATGGCACTTTTCTATTTATGTGAAGAAACTTCAGTGGGATTACTTGAAAAACATAGGCTTAAGTTTTAGCTTTTCTGATATGCTAAGTCATGTATCATGAAGAATTTTTCTTTTCACAAAGTGTGGTGGTTTAAGCTTTAATTAATATTTATAGAACATTTGTTTTAGCCTTTTAACTCACAGTATTATGTTTTTCATAGCTGAGGGATTTAAGAAATAGATTTTTATATTTGATGATTTTCATTTCATAGCTTAATTATTAAGTGGTCATGACTTCAAGTCCTTGCTGGGCCACTACATGCCTATGTAATCTTAAGCAAGTTACTGAATCTCCACTTTATTATTTATAAAATTGGGTTAACAATAGGCACTAACTATTAAGAGTTGTTATGTGGATTGAGTGAGTTAATGAATGGAAGGTGCATTACACAGACTCGGGCACATAGTAGACTTTTAATTAATGCTAGTCATCATTCTCATTCTTTGTTGGTTTTACTAAGCAAGCTAGGTCTTCAGATAGTTACAAACTTTAATGTCTAATATTAACACTACATTCTTGAACTTAAATATATATTTGAAGATAGACAGGATTAAGTGCTATATAATCATTACTGTTATTTTTATGAAAGTATTAAGCATTTCAGGAAAAAGACCATGACTGATCCATTCGCACACTAATTGTAATCATTAGTTTCCTAATGATTTTTCCTAAAAAAATAGTAATTCTCTTGGTTTATCTTATGGTATCTCTTGGTCTGAATAAGCATTTATGGTCATGACCTAGAGAGGGGCCATTTGATAGAGTAAAAATCAGGCCTTAAGATTAACTGATACAAAAATGGAAAGAAATCATAGTGCATCATCAAGAGCAAATATTTTTAGGGAGAGACTCATTAGTGATTTTACTGACTGGCTCATCTTACCAAATTTTCAGGAATCTGGAATGGGATGGGGGGGGGGCAATCAGTCAAGCTTGATTGATTAAGGCCAATTGATTGGCCGTCTCCAATTTTACTTCAAAGCCATTATAACAGAATATTGTTTAAAATTTAAGAGTACCTACAATCTTACCATGTGTTTTTATGTTTTAAATTCAACTAC